GGAAGCAGTGCCCACTGAGAGATTAAGGATTGAATGGAGCTTCTAGGGTTAAAGAATGAGAAATCAACACAAGATGATAGAAAAACCAGCAACGAACATTGCCCAGAGCAAAATGGATGCACAGGGAAGGGGAATTGCCAGGCACTGCAGCTGGTCTGGGGCTGCTACCAGAATGGCACAAAGGGCTGGAAGGATTTAAGACAGTTTGGGCCAGAAAAGAGGACTTTTGAACCAAAGCTCAAAACCCAGGTTTAGAGCCCATTTCCAATAGTCTGGGTCTGGGAAGAGGATGGCATTCCTTCCCAACACAGGAACTGGCCTCTGCTGGCAATGGGCCGAACAATGTGTGCAGAATCTCTCCTAAGACGACTCAATTTGCTCCAGAGTTCTGTAATAGTGTATTTTCCAAAACATTAACATTTTCAATTGTACGTTCCATGAATATAATCTCCATTATTTCTATACCATTACATTTCAATGGTATTACTTAAGGTTGTTCACCTTTTTGAAATCCATGGGATTGCAATCTGAAAATCAGGTTCATAAAGACATTGGAATTGTAGCTTGGTTCAGCACATTTTTAATTTTCCTGTTTATTTTGCTCTGAAGAGAGGAGCCCCTTTGTTTGAAACACGAATGTCTCTGAATAGAGACTATCTAAGTATTTCATTATGTGGTACAATATTGTCCAAGTATTGATTTACAGACAACATCATCTTCTCAGAGATTTTTTCCTTGGATGGCACTATACATGGTTAGCACCATGAAAAAAAAAACTACCTTTTGTTGATTCTTGGGGGAGAAGGCAAGGCAACTGAGCTTCCTTCTTACTATTCTGGTTGTGTTATGAAGATACTGACTATTGTGACTCAGCTATATGCAAGGGTGGGGTCTAGCTGGTGTTTGCTAGAGATTATGTTCCCCATGACACCCCCTCTTTATTCTTTCTTTTTTGTTTCTTATGTGGATGTACAAAAACAGGAACAAAAGTTTTTGGATTATTTCTAAGGAACAGAGCAAGTAAAAAAATGACAGAAAATGACAGGTGCACAAATGTAAGTAAACAAAACAGAACAATACCTACTTCTGAGTAAATTTGTTTAAAGAGAAGGGTAAATAAAAAAAGTTTTTTTTTCATCAACTTTAAACTAACCAGAGAAAAACTGCTATTGATTCCTTGCATGAATTATCTTGTGTTTTAAAATTGAAATTGATTAAAATTACTTCTTGATATAATTATTTTATCGAAAGGGCTGACAAAATTAAGAAACAGGAAAATTTGCATAGCCTGAAGTAGTGTTCGCTTGTGAGATCATTTGAGCTTCAGTATAGCCAGGGAGAATCACAAAGTATGCACGGTTATGATAAACATTTAGAACTATAGATTTTGCAAAGTACTGAAGTAAATGAGAATTTCTTATATATGTGGGGATTAATACAGATTAATTTTATATACAGTATTTGTGTATGAATAATTTGTATTTGTATAGGGAAGGAGTGTATACAGAATAGACATATATCCCTGGCACTTATTCATGCGAAATACTTAGAAAATATCTCTCCATACTGTGATCAGTGTTTTTCCATTGCTGAACAAGATCTGCAATATAGTAATAAACATGTTGAACAGAAGGTAGAGAATAGATTGTAATCTTGATTTACCAAACCTGGGGAAACCTGGGGAATATAATTAGTATGCAATGAAATCCTGTATATAACATGCAGTATCACAGAAATTGCTCCAGGGCTGTGGCCTCCCATTATATCACCTAAGTTCTGCTATATTCCAGCAAATCATCCTAAAAATATAAGGGTTCTAGAGTGTTGAGTTTACTTAAAGTAGACTTCAATGAAATCCATTTCACAAAACTGAGCTGCCCTTCCATTTTCCTTTTTATTCTGTGGATTTTCAGAAAAACAGGCAGAGTTTGAAAGCATTTACAGTTAGGAAAATACCGTAATCATTGCATAGATAGGTTTGTAGGTTAATAATGAACATGATTGTAATTGTTGCCTAGTTTTCCATGTCATTATGTACTATAGAATTCTAGTGTTGGATACTGATTTCAACCAGATGCCCCACGCAGGAATCCAAATTCAAACCTTCCTTGTGGGATGTTTTTTTAGCCTTGACTTGAATAAGTAGCAAAAGAGAGCTTAACATTTTTGTAGACTGTTAGAGCTATTATCAAAATGCTCAGAATCTTAGTAATTTTTTTAATGTTGTAGAGGTCATATTTAACCACATGCTTAGAATGTTTTTAACCACATTCAGGTAGAGAAATATGCCGGTGAAATTAAGGGTGGACTGAGGCCAACTATGAAAATCACTATCATGGGCATGATATATCCTAGTCCGAAAAGGTAGGTATGTAACCAGGTATTTGAGCTGCAGTTAAATTGCCCATTAGAGTCAAAGCACATGATTTGAAAGAGAGGCAGACTGATTGTTGGAGTCTCTGATAAAAAAGACTCTTTCCTTCTCTCTGAGAACATAAAAAGAAATGTGGAATAAAAAGGCATTTTATTTCAAACAATTAGTTTTTGTAATGTAACTTCCAAATTGAGCCCAGTGGGAGAAAAATGGGGGGAAAAGATGCATTCTGGGTTGTAAATATTGCATTGAGTAGAACATTGGATTAGATCAGAGGTTTCCAAATAATTGGGAGACAATGAGGTCATTTGGGAAAGGTATCCTGGATGCCATCATATACAGTACATGTATGAATGAATTTTGTATGTACATGTTTTCCGCCTTTTGATTTTTTTCATTTTCTGAATTCTTCTGCCTTGTTCACTTTTACAGCAAGAAAATACATTTTCATTCATTCCTCATTCATTCAATTTATATTTATGTAGATTTATATCCTTCTCAAATTCATAACTCTTGGTGGCTCTCAACAGTTAAAACACCATAAAAATGTATAACAATTACAACACACATATAATCAGCAGCCAAGGTACAAGCAGAACAACCCACAATAAATCAATACAACCATTGCATGGTCTCTGCCACATATCTGGATCCCCAAGCTTGGTAACAAGAACCATGTCTTTAAGGCCTTACAAAAGACCAGCAGGATCATTTTGCTTGAATTGGAATAACATTTAAAATGACATTCCACTGGTTAATAAACTGAACAATGGCAGAATTCCTTTGTCACCCACACCTTTTTTGTCGATTGTGTCTGTTAATGTAATTGCCAGTATTTATTTTTTTCTCCATTTAATTTCCTCTAAACTCTCTATTATTTTTATTTCCTTCCTCAATTTACGTATCATTGAGACTCCAGATGCATCTGAAATATTGTTTAGAATCTATCTGTATTTGTGCAACTTAAGGCAGTATACATAATGCTCTCTCCTATTTTTCTACGTTGTCGGGACATTCCACTCAACCCGATTTTCGCACTAGTCGACCAAAGACGGTTTCCTTCCTGATCTTAAGTGTCAGAGGACCAAAGAACAGGTTACGGAATTAACGATGTGTTTGATCTTTTGATCAAAATATATATCATCAATAATATAATTTTATGTAATATTATTACGTAAAATGATTATGATGGATTCAGATAGGATGCTGTGGATTCTGTTGGTTTTTCTCAACAGACTAACATAATACCACTAGTATTACTAGATTTGGTCTGCAAGAATCCAGCTCCTTATCAGACAGATTTAAAGCAGGGGTGTGTGTGTGCATCGTTGTCAAAGGAGTCTGCGAAGGTTTGAAGAAATGTTATGATTTAAATCTTGAGTTACGTCTTGGCCACAAAAGATATTTAAAGGGGGTCCGTTGTGAAGAAAAGGTTGAGAACCACTGATTTAAAGTATTTGAGAAAGCTTTGCTGTCCTTCAGTGTTTGTCTGACTTTTTGCGGCCAAAATCTGTTAGCCCACAAATACATGTTTTTCAAATACTTCGAGTAGGTGTAGCAGATGAATTATTTTCTGCTTTTATTACATCAAAAGTCAGATTTATATCATATTATCCAAAATGACACCACCATCCCATGACTTTTATACCATTCAGTTTTTATTGTGCAACTTGTAATCTGTCTGATTTATAGAATTATACAGATACCGTAATCCAAACAATGTTGCAAATAAATATGTAATGAGCCTTCTTTATTTTCCATTTCTAATTTCCTGTTTTTTTCCAACTATTTTTTTCCATCTATTTTCTTTTCATATTCACCCAAAAATTAAGTAAAAATAACTGAGCAATTTTGCTTAGTGTTGCTCGGAGATCTTGATCTGGAACCATCTGCGCAAGTTTTTGTTGTCTAACTTTAATCATTTTTTGGGCTATGAGTTTCATTCACTTTTTAGTATTATACTAACAGGATGAGTTAGGAGAAATATAATTTCTTTTTTTATTGCTGGTTGAGTACATTATATTTGTACTTATTGTGGAAATAAATGACTATGTGCACATGGTTGGAAAACATTTGGGGTGGAATTTCAAAATTTAGTGGTTGGGAAGATGCTTCTTCTTTTATAGATTCTTTATATTTGAGCTGTTATTTTATTCTAGGGCAATTATGGTGTTTTATTGTACAGATTGTTTTTAATGTTTTGCACATCCCTTAGACTTAGAGCCTGGTGATAATGTGTTGCATGGAATATTAGGAAGGAGAAAGTGAAAGAGAGAAAGAATACCTTTATAAATCATATGCATATAAATACCTTTATAAATCATATGCTCCTGCATTGTTAAAATCTGTAGTTCCTTTATGCATATTATTTTCTTGTAGTTTTTCAGTGGCTTTGCTTTGTGACCCCAAGGATGATCACACAACCAGGGATACTGGATTATTACTTGTAGTCAGCTTTAGTGAGAAATCCATTGTGCGGAATTCGCAAATTGCTGGGAAATGGGGCAAGGAGGAAAAGACCATTCCCTACTTCCCATTTACAGCAGAGGACTCATTTAAGGTAATCTCTCTCTCTCTCTCTCTCTCTCTCTCTCTCTCTCTCTCTCTCTCTCTCTCTCTCTCTCTCTCTCTCTCTCTCTCTCAATCTCTCTCTCAATCTCTCTTTCTCTCTCTCACACACACACATCTTAGGACTGTGCATAGCGTTGGATTCAAAGATTCAAAGGCAAATAGGTGACCGTAGCATCAAACGTCAGCTCTTTAAAGCAGCTGGACCTTTCCCTGTCATTGTGCCCCCATGTATTCCGAAGATTCTTTTTACCTTCAGATTTGAAGTATTGCACATTCTAATGAGTGGCAAACTATGTTGCCTAATTCCTGACCGGTGAGGTGGCTTAGAGATGACGATGCTCACCTCCCACTTGGAAGATTGAGGGTTCAGTACTAGGTAGCAGCAGGTGTATCTCTATCAGGGCACAAAGAGATCTGCTGTGAATTCCATTCAGACGCCCCAATTCCACCCTGAATAACAGGATTAAAGGGTTGTAAAAAAAGGGGGGGGAACTATGTTACCTAATTCCCATTAACTGACAATCCTCCAAATCTTTAGCAGCAACATTCTCCACTCTTCGAATCCTTTGACATTTCACTAGGCAAGAATTCTAAAAGCTATAAATCAGGACAAAAATATTGACCAAAAAAGGGTAGTCCCAAGCTGCAAGGAAGTTACGCTGTAAGTCGCCCAGAGACATTGGATACAAGATGGGCAGCAAGTAAAATTTATAAACAAAGAAACAAACAAAAGTTGCCCACCATGCTTTAACCTGGAGAGACTACATTTGTGATCACATTCATACAAAACATAGCCTTCTGCTTTAATTTTCTATAGCAGGGCTTTTCAACCTTTTCACCCATTGTACCATTTTTAGGATATGGCAATATCCGAGTACCACCAGTCGCCTAGCAAGGTGTCAAAAATTTAATGACCAAAAAAAAAAAAGGAAAAAAGTGATAAAGTACAGGTAGTCCTCAACTTACAACAGTTCGCTTAGTGACTGTTCAAAGGTACAATGGCACTGAAAAAGTGCCCCCCAAGGCATAGCCGAGCAAGACACCTGCCTGCCCACCCAGTGGTGCTCTTCCTCCTGTCCGAGGTCTTCATTGTTGTGAGCATTTCTGTTGAGGATTGGCAGTGGGGTGGGTGGGGAAGTGTTTGGTTTTTATTCCCCCCGTCTCCTGGATAGTTGCAGCAGGTTTTGGTCACTTCACATGACCCTGGGACACTGTGACTGTCATTTATTTTTATTGAACTTATATGCCGCCCTTCTCCCAACAGGACTCAGTTGCCAAGCATCTGAATGTAAATCACAAGACCCTGGAGATGCTGCAACATTCCAGCTGATCGGCGCTTCTTCTGGGCTCAGCAGAAGTGCCAGGATCAGCGCCAAGCTCCAGCTGGAGCCTGGCGCTGATCCTGGCGCTTCCACTGAGCCCTGACAGTCCCGAAGAAGCACTAATCCTGGCGCTTCCGCTGAGCCCTGACAGCCCTGCAGCTCCAGCCATCTCTCGCTCAGGCTTGTGCGGTGCTGCCACTGGTTCAGTTCATTACCCTCCCCTGCTACCACTTTTCTAGGATGGTCGCGTAGCACCTGCCAGGTGCCAATGTACCACAGGTGGTACCCGTACCACTGGTTGAAAAGCCCTGTTCTACAGGAGCAAGAAGAATGGAAACCTGACCAATAGTTCCCAGCCTGTTGTTTAGGGCAACTGGTAATCTTTCAGAGTACTTGGTGATGATGCATTTGTATATATATGACCCAAATCTTACATCCTGGGAGATCAGTAAATATTGACATCTTAGTGTTCTTGCTTGAAATCTCATTTAACTATCTGCGAGGTGTTTGCATGCCAACGTTCCAGCAATTTCTTTAGCCTTTTTGTTCATTTTCAGATGGAACTTTTATGTGAACATCAGCAAATCCGAATCCTGCTTGATGGGCGTCAGTTGTGCAGTTTCAGTCACCGCGTGCAGCCCATGCAAAGGATGACTATTTTGCAAATCTCAGGCGACCTCAAGCTTACCAAGGTGGCTTGAAGAAAATAATAAATCAAAAATGCCCTTCCCAATGTTGATCTACAACACTCAGCAATTCTAGGCAAAATGACTAACTACAAAAGATACTAGGAGTTTTAACCCAACGTCTGGAGGGTAATAAATTCTCCATCTCTGTAATAAATAATTCCATATCATTACTGCTTTATGGCAAAAGTGCTTTTTCTTCATTTCTTTCCTTTCTTTGCCTTTATGTATGCCTCTTGAAATGTTTGTCTGTTATGTTTTCTTAAGATTCTCCTCCCCTTCCCCCCCCCCCCCGCAACAAATTTTAAATATTATTTTTTACTTTAGCTCACAATTCTGGGAGTCTTGCAGGTCTATTCTGTTACTGTTGATTGCAACCTTTTGGATGAGAGAGCTGCAGGTGTACAGAGATTTTATATTAATTTCTAAAAGGAAGACAACTAGTTATATGCAAAAGATGTTTTCAGCATATATTTTTTTTAAAAATGTTAAGTAAGCTACACTATGTTCATTGGAGCTTGTTCCCAGGTAAATTTGTATGCCATGTTGAAAAAAATGAAAATAAAATAATTGTGTGTAATTATCTCTATTTTATTTAACTCAAAGCAATATGTTTCTCTTGCACTGAACTTCACCTCACCTTTCTCTCCCATTAAGATCAGGAATTCTCTTAGCAAAAAACATTTGATTTGAAGAGTAGATTCCAGTGCTGAATCTAGCTTGTGCTACAAGAATCAAATATTTTTATCCTATTTATGGTTACTATCAATCTGCCAAAATAATTTTATCCAGACTTGTCAAATGAGAGCATCCTTTCTTAGAAGCCCAGGCTCCTACTGTGTTAACTGGGATGTTTTTTCCCCCAACATTATCTACACATGGTTTTTCTACACAAAATTCAATCACTCTTTCTCAGCCCTGCCTATCCTACACAGTTGTTACTAAGGAGGGAGGGAAATCAAAGCATGGGTGTTGCCTCAAGCTCCTGCACAAAAGGCAGAATATAAGTCACATAAAAAAATAAAGAGCAAGCATTTAGATGTTATAAAAAATGCAACTTCCATCTTTTGAAGATAATTAGCCAAAGAATAAGATAAAATTGGCACTCTTATAATAATTTTAGTGAAATAAATAATGTCTTTGTACAAATCTGTGGTCTGACTATAACTCAAAAACAGTCAAATGAAATAGCAATGCCGTTGATAAGTTTAGAGATATTCTAAAATAGCTTTACTATATCACTTCAAGGATCTGAACACTCAGAAAACAATTCTTTTGAAAATTTAGAGGTACGTGTTGACATCAGTATTGGAAAACATGCTCACTCAAAGATGCTCAGCCAAAAGCAACTCCCTTTTCCTCTTAATGTTCCTTTTAAAGTTGTTTCCAATGAAGCAGAACAGAGTCCTTTCTAGGGTGGTTAGCAAATCTGCAAGATTAACATTTAAAAATAGACTACGGATATTCATACAATTTTATATGTGCAATACTTCCTCCCCACTCTCTCTCTCTGTGTGTGTAGTATTGTAAAAAGTAACATATATAACAGACTTTATTTTTCTAAAGTTTTTATTGATTTTTTAATACAATTCAAAAGTATTTATTCAACAAACGTGTTGTCTGAGTATATCATCTTATATATAAATAAAAATGTAAATGTTCGTTTGTTCAAAATCTTAAATCTCCGAAAGTTCTTCACCGGTTGCTTTGAAATTTTGACACAATGTTGCATTCGAATACGCGCATGTTTTTATATACCTATATACCTATATTATATAGATGTCACACCTGTGACAGGTAAAACATGCTTTTTTTGAAAAACAGCGCCATCTGTTGGACGTAAAAGCAACACACGCTACGATTTAACCAGACTGAGCCACAGCAACACGTGGCCGGGTACAGCTAGTTTACTAATACAAATTGAATTCCTAATCCCTTATTCTTTTCTCCAGCCATTGATAAAATAAGTCCCAAGTTTGATAGTATTCTGTTTCTTCTTTTTCTTTCAACTTCAAAGTAAGTCTATCCATTTCTGCACAATCTAGTATTTTTTTAATTATTTCTTCCTCTGGTGGTATTTCTTCATTTTTCCAATATTGTGTGAATATGATTCTTGCCGCTATTATCACATGTAAAATCAAGTATATACTTTGTTTGTCAAGCTTTTCTGGCATTATACCTAATAAAAAAGTTCAGGTATAAAATCTACATGTTTTCCCAACATCTTTTCTAGCCAAGTATGTATTTTTGTCCAATATCTCTTTGCTTTAACACATGTCCACTATACATGATAATATGTACCTGATTTGTGATTACATTTCCAACATCTATCTGACATATTTTTAAACATTTTTGCTAGTCTTGCTGGTGGCAAGTGCCACCTTTTATTTCTGGGTCTTGTCTAATATTTCTATTTAGAACTTCCAAAATTAAAATAAATAACAATGGAGATAGTGGACATCCTTGTCTTGTGCCTTTTCTTATGTTGAAATTCTCTGTATAATCTCCATTTACAATCTCTTTTGCTGTTTGTAATATATTGTTGTAATCATATTTATAACATTTTGTCCAAAGTCCATTATTTTTAGTTGTTGAGTCATAAATTTCCAGGAAACATTATCAAATGCCCTTTGAGCATCTAGAAATACTAATGCCAATTGTTTCCATGGATGCACTTCATAATATTCCAATATGTCCTTTATAACTCTTAAATTATTTTTTATTTGTCTCTTTGGTAGAAATCCATTTTGATCTGGATGTATAAATTCAGTTAGAAATCTTTTCAGTCTCTCTGCTATCATTGAAGTAAATATTTTATAGTCCACATTTAGTAATGATATCGGTCTGTAATTTTCTTATCTGTGTCAGATCTGAGTCCTCTTTTGGTATCAAAATAATATTTGCTTCTGTCCATGTGTTTCGGAGTTTAGCCTCCAACAAAAGTTCATTACACATATCTTTCAACGGTACACGTAATGTATCTTATAGAGATTTGTACAACTCTGCCGCGAGCGCATCTGGTCCCGGTGTTTTTTCATTATTTTGTCTTCTTATAGCCTCTGTCAGTTCCATCGTTATTTTCTCATTTAACATAGTTTTAAAGTTTTCTGAGATTTTTGGTAAATTATTTTTTCCCATATATTGAATCGTTTTCTCCCATGAAATTTCTTCTAGATCATAGTTTCTCATAATATTCTTTAATTATCTTTTTATTACTTCGTTTTTAAATTGTAAACAGCCTTTTTCATCTACTAAGTTATTTATCATTAGTTTGTAAGCTAACCATCTTTCTGGTTTATTTGCATTTTCAAAAAAGTTTTGCTTTGCTCTTTTAATTTGCTGTGCCAGTTTTTCTGATTCTATTAAATTTATGTTTTATTATTTCCATTTGTCTTTTCAGTATTTTCTTTTGTGGATTTATTTGTAATTCTAATTCTAGTTTTTTAAATTCTTCCCTTAATAGTATATATTGTTGTCTTTTTTCTTTGTTTTTTTTCACCATAGCTATACCTCTAAAGTATGCTTTGGCTGTATCCCATACATTTTGTAATGTATCTTCTTTTTTATTTTCTTTTAAAAAAGCTGCATTTCTTTTGTTGCTAATTCTATAAATTCTTTCTCTTTTAATATGGATTGGTTCAAGGTCCATCTTAGGTTTTTTTTTATTCCTTTGTAACAGACTTTTTAGAACCTATAACTACAGAGTAAAAAGCCAATCAGAAAGACAGAAAAATACAAATGCATGTTCATACAGTGTATTGAAATATACTGAGTTGTAGATATAATAACTAATAACTTTCTAATACTCTAATACTAATACCTTCCATTAAATATTTAGTGCTTCTTGTATATTCCCTTGTACATATGCGTATACTCCTCCCTCTTGTTTAACATAGATACCATTTTGTCCATGGGTATTTGTAGTAGTAGTAGTAGTAGTAGTAGTAGTAGTAGTAGTAATAATAATAATAATAATAATAATAATAATAATAATAATAATAATAATAATAATAATAATAATAATAATAATGTTGGAAGGGACCAACCCCCTGCTCAGGCAGGAAACCTTACACCATTTCAGACAAATGGCTGTCCAATCTTTTCTTTAAAACTTCCAGTGTTGGAACATTCACAGCTTCTGGAGGCAGGTTGTTCCACTGATTATCTGTTCTAACTGTCAGGAAATTTCTCCTTAGTTCTAGGTTGCTTCTTTCCTTGATTAGTTTCCATCCATTGCTTCTTGTCCTGCCTTCAGGTGCTTTGGAGAATAGCTTGACTCCCTCTTCTTTGTGGCAACCCCTGAGATATTGGAACACTGCTATCATGTCACCCCTCATCCTTCTCTTCATTAAACTAGTCATACCCAATTTCAGCAGCTATTCCTGATGATATACATTAGATCTCAGTGATGCCAGGCATTAGTGGAATAACCTCTGGTAGTGGAAAAGATTTCAGCAGAGAGGAGCAGAGGGGAGGGGAGGTTCATTAGAGCAACTTGCAGAGAGAGGAATTATACCAGATTTAGTTCAGAAACTTTGAGGAATTAGGCAATAAGTTAACTGAATCACTTGATACTAAATTAACAGTTTTTGTAAAAGAATGGATTAAAGGCTTGTAAAAATGAAGAGATGAAAGAAGTTAAGAACAAAGTTGCGTAAAAAAAATGTCGAAAGAGGTAAAACTAATGACAAAGTGGAAATTCTAGAGGGTAAGACAGAAGTTGTAGATACAGACTTGGAAAGAGAACGAGATAATTTGGCTTTATTGGAATTAAGAGAGAAGGAATTTTATTTGAGAATTCTTTATTCTGGAACATTTGACCAAGCTTTGAAGTATATGGTATACTTGCCCAACGTTTTAACCTAGCACTGCTCAAGATGCCTTCAATTACTGTGATCTCAGAGTCCCCAAATGGTTACTTTTTAAAAAGAAATTTTAGGAAGCTAAGGAATACGAGAGTAAAAAAATTGGTTTATTTTTAAAATAAAAATACGAACATCTAAGTCACTATTCAG